ATAAGAGTCAACTCCGAACGGAAATTTATGCGAAGATTTTTTAAGCGTATGCAGTAGTAATAAACTCGGTAGATTTGGCTCGTGGCTTTAGACTGAACAGAACGAACTTTCTTTCTCATGTTTTTGGAAAATACGTATATATATACACTCGGAAAGAACAGTGGAGAGGGCTGAAATTAGTAACGGTTGGTAAGCATAGGTCGAAGATTAAAGATGACCTAGAGTACAAAGTGCAGGATAATGTAGAGCTGGATGTAGATGAGTTCGAGTTAAGGATGAGGTCATCGGAGAAGTGGAATTGTTGGACCGGGTATCTACGTATGTTTAGTTAGATTAGGATACAACAGTGCTTCGAACGTCGTGTATATTATATTTTGATTGTTTGTATATTTAGAATCGGACTGATGGACTCTTCTTTATACCTGTTTTTAGCAGTTATACATTATTACATGGAATGGAAATTGTTAAAGTGGCCACAAATGGTACATCTACTCTATTGGCTGCGTCAACAATCAATCATATATTGTTATCAATATTAACAATCGGATCCTTGTAATGCAGACATATCAAAGAGTGTCGATTTTCGTATCAAATAAAGGTACAATAGTGAATTATCTTTTATTCATCACATTTATTCCCGCAATAATAATATTATACATAGATACCATTCACATTTTCCAAGGTAACCAACAATTTTTGGAGAAAATGAGATTGAAACATCAATCCACGATAATTTGTTGATATTGGACAATATTTTATTGAACTCCATGATTAATAATTCGCAGTTGGCAACGAGCCACATAACGAGCTATTGGATTCTGAGCCGATGTTTAAATAAATTGTCAAGTTGTCTGGCATCATTTGTAGCGAGGTCTTGTAGATGTACATAAAATGATTGCGTTCAAGGTAAAGTACCTCTAAATTAGAAGGCAAATTTAAATGATCCAGGGATTCTAGCTTGGTGAATTTGTTTCCTGATAAATTTAAATACCGAAGATTCTTCATGGGCTGAGACCAATTTACTGGCAAATGATCAAGTTTGTTGTCATCTAAGTGCAGTTCTTTTAAAAATTGTTGGTTTTGAAACACGTCTGTGTGAAGGAATGAAATTTTATTATTACTTAAAATTAATTTCTGTAAATTTGGCACGCTGATAAAAGAGTTGACTGATAAGTATTGTATTTGATTACATTTCAATGAAAGCGTCGTTATGGTTGACGAATTTAGGTTCGGAATATCTACTAACGAATTGCGATCTAATACAAGGATCTCGAATGATTCCGAAATGTTAAGGGACACTAAGTTGGCAGTAGATAAAGCGTTGCCGGATAGATTTAAATATCGAAGATTCGCTAAGCTTGTAAATGCTCCCTCATCGATGGAACTGATTCGGTTATCAGCTACTGATAAAATTTCCAACTGCTTCAATGCCGATAAATTAAGTCCATTTTCACCTATTTGTTCAATTTTATTGTCAGCTAACCACAGGAGAGACAGATTAGTCAATCTTGGCGCATAAGACGTGATTAAGTTCCTACTAAGGTCAAGATATATTAGTGTGTTAGGTAACAAGGAAACAAAGGAAGACTTTTCTTTCTTGTTTTGTGCGAAATTAAGGTATTTCAATTTTGGGAATGGATTTTCTTGCCTGGCTCTGACGTACCCAACGACAATATTACTTAAGTCCAAGTATTCAAGTTCAGGATATACATTATTTATTTCTATATCTCCTGAATAATAAGTGTTTTGACCTCCAAGAAGCAGCACTTTAACGGTCGGAAGTGGGCCAAAAGAGAATAAATTGCTCGGATTAATTTGGTTCTCTCGAAGATCAAGATACTTCAAATTTGGTAAATCCTCGAATGCTCCTGACATCATACTAAGTCCGGGAGATCTTAAGGTAATACATCTTATGGCAGAAGAGGCGATGAAACTTCTTGTAACGCTTGACGATGCAGGTAAATCGAGTCTTAGCGATTCATTCTCGCAGATATCTGAAATGTTCCTTATCTGTTCATAGATATCTGGCGTATCAGCTGCTTCGTAAGTGTCCACAGCGTTCACGAGTTCTGCAACGAAGTTGATAGGTGTCGTGTTTCCAACGGCGATTAACGGAAAGACAATTAATGCACCGAAGATGATTGACCGTCTCATCGTTTCCGGTTCGCTAGAAATGAAATGTAATTTTTCTTTATATATATTGTATTTCTTACGAGTGATCGATTCATGAAATGAATGATAAAAATTCGTAATATAATTATCCTGTTGGATCACAGCGGGACTCTGGAGTCCTACCGATTTTAAAGCACTTTTTTAATTAATTAAATAATTCGACTTTTTCTGATTTGTATGATAATTACTCGGGTAAGATTGGCATTGATACTTATAATGTTTATTGGATTTTAGTTGATTTTTATACGTATTACTATATATTATTATATTATGTATACTATTTAATGAATAATTTCGACTAAATTGATTGGAATTAACTGCTTTATTGGGAGTTGATTTTTGCCTTCCGAAGTAGAAATCATGAGTATTGTGATTGAATTTATTGCAAATTCTGTATTGCTGAAAATTATCATGTCTCAAACGCAAAGCTTTTCTTCTGCTGCCGTAAGAGCACCATTAATATTTGAAAATTCTCGATGCCTTAAGGATATTCAGGCTATACAATCCTTGCCAAAGTGATGTAAATATAAAATTTTGCAATTTTTATGGTTTTAGAATGCAATCACTTACATTTCAAAAATTTTAGTAAAATTTTGGAAATTTTAACAGTTTATATTGGCTATATAATATATTATATATTTTAAAATACTAGTCATTGTTAAATACATGACTTACTTGTATATTAAGTTATATAATACTATATAAGAGTGAATACTCCACAATTCTTTTTTTTTAATTTGTTAATAATTGTATTATAAAAATGTAAGAAGATGAAATAATAAAACATGATTTCTTTTATATTTCAAGTTTTAATTTATTCACCCTTTTCCTAATATTTTGTATTAATTAATTTATTTGTTTACTTCATAGGTCTGGAAGCATGAAGTTTTGTTATCATAATCCTGAAGATTCAAATACAGTACACGAAGAAAATGCTGCAACGGCGTTTGATGCAGTAGTTAATATTATGGTCTCTTATGACATGGGATGGACAATCAGAGGCTGCGGTAGAGACTATGATAATTTGAATGGTTTTGGCTCTATCGTTGGCGTATTGAGTCGCCAAATACTCGATTATTCAACATGCAATAGAAAATGTAAAAAATGTGATATGGGTCGTACTCCACTTGATCACAACTGTAGATTGAATTATTGGGACTCATCAAAAGCAATGGAGGCTCACGTTGCGAATAAACATGTCAACAATAGCTCTATTTTGAAATCAAACAATTTGCAAGTAGGTATTTTTGTAGGCGACGATGATAGTTCTTCGATAAGTGCTTGCCGTGCTGGCTCTTCCCATCCAATAGGAAAATTGTCAGATACAAATCATACTTCAAATGGAATTAAAAGACAACTATACGACATCGAAAAAACCCACAATGAATTAACTAAAAATGATAACGTATTTACATCGATGCTTTACATATGCCATGTCTCAACATAGAGGGTACAGGAAGGCTATGACGGAAGCAATTCGATGTATTCCGTATCATGCTTTTAGCATCAGAAATGTGGTCAATGGTGTGGATTTATTCAAGATCGAGAAAATTACGATCATAGGATGGTCCCTGGAGGTTTTCAAGATGAACTGTTATTTAAAGCAGTTAATGGAATTTTTGAAAACTTGGAGGCTAATGCAGAAAAATTTTCTATAGGCGTTTCAAGTAATATTAACGAATCTCTAAACGCCAGTATGGCACATAAAGTTCACAAAGCCAAATGCTTAAGTGTCACAGCGTCGGCAGACTACCGATAC